GTACAATCGAAATGTTTGTTACTTTCATAGATTTCGAGAATCCTGCGCATAATATGAATAGGCTGGTTTGTAGATCGTTTGGAACGAAAGCCGAATTGTGTAGAACGAATTTTATCATCGAAGTGATGAGAAAGACGCTTTTGAATTAATGAGGCGAAAATCTTGCACATGGAGTTGGTAAGGGAGATAGGTCGGTAGTTAGAGAGGTCTCGAGTATCATGCTGGATCTTTTTAACTAGCATAACAACTTCAGATAATGCCCAGGAGTCAGGAACAGTGGAGGTAGAAAGGCAATCGTTAAAGTGATCTAGGAGAAAAAGTTTGAGGATGTAGGGGGAGCCCTCGATCATATCGGCGGGGATGGAGTCAGGTCCGGCCGCACGGCCCGTACTTAGTGATCTAAGAACGATATTGAGCTCAGCCATTGTAAACGGAGCGGAACAGTCTATAACAGGAGAAGGATTGTCGGGGAGTTCAGGTTGAGGGTCAGGATCCTTCCAGACTTTTTCAGAGAGATATTCTGCGAATGTAGTAGCGCGGAGATCCTTGGATGATAGCTTACCGTGTATATTGAAGAGATTAACAGAACGAGGAGTAAAAGGTTTACGAATGGAGCGAGCTGTGCGCCATTGATGGATAGAGGGACCGTGGAAGTCTTCTTGCAAATGCTGAGCAATGAAATTTTTTTTGCCGCGGGAGGCGGATTTTTTGATGCGCTTACGGAGAGATTTGAGCTCAGGAACAGTGAGGTCAGTACAGTCTTGAAAGTGAGAAATAAGGCCGAGAGTGGAAGGGGAGATCCAAGGTTTTTTGGCGGAGATAGGGAGAGAGGGTATGAGAGTTTTCTGCAAGGAGCAGAGGAATCAGATTGTTCTTGAGGGGTCTTAGAGAGCCAAATGTCAGAGTTATAACCAACTTGAGGAGGATTGAGAGGAGAACGGGAGAGAAAGCGACCTACTCGGCCACTTGATGTGACCCCTTTTTTGGCTAACGAGTCGGCGAGTTCATTTCCAGGGATACCAACATGAGAGGGTACTTTGACGAGGTCAACATAGTAAACTGTACGGAGGGCTGTGTAACACTGTTCAGCAAGCTCAAGTAGTCGGTGATGAGTGGAAGGGAGTTGATCTCCTCGTAAAGAACGAATGACGCAAGTAGAGTCAATATGGATGATAACGGAGGAACCGTGCGGTAAATCAGAGTAAAAAGAAAATAATCAAATAATTCAACGATAGCACGCATTTCACCAGTGTTGTTAGAGCCGTCCACAGGATTAATCACATTGGCGTCAATAGGAGAGTTTTTGACTTGTCCGTAGGAACATATCCAGGAGTCATTGACAGCAGAATGTGACTTTGGATAGGAGTCAGTGACGTATAGGGCGAAGCCCCAACCGGCGGGGTTATCAGGGCCTACAGTTCGATTATTGGGACAAGAGCCGTCAGTATAAGAAACTAGAAAGGAGGATGTATGAGTCAAAGAGCAAACAGAATTGTTGGTACTAGCGAGTAAAGAGGACTCAACAGATTCATAGAAAGCGGAGGATTGGGAGAAATCAAGTTTTGGCTCGGAGCGAGCGGGAGGTTGAGATACAAAGGAACTAGAGTAGGAAAAGATGAGAGGAAGGTGTCGAGTGTTGATGAGCTGTTGGAAGCGAGAACCCTTGAATTGCAGATCACAGAAAACGGGGTGAGAAACAGAAGCAAAGTCAAGTGTAGTCCAATCGGAGACGGAGAAATCTTCCAGAAAATCAGTGGAGGAGGTCATTTCTTTACAAGTAACAAGTTTGGAGGAGGGGAGGTCAGAAAAAGTTTGAGGAAGAAGTAGAAGATGAGATTGCATGAACTCCATCAAATAGACAGCGTTGTCTCTATCTGAGTCAGAGATACTTTGGCGCTTTCCCCAGACTTGGGAGCCTATATGATCATGGTCTGGATCCAATGAGGAGTCGAGTCTAGAGTTATAATCGCCAAGGATGATAAGATGAGAGGAATTGGAGTGATCTGAAATGACTGTATCAAGTTGAGACCAAAACTGTTCCTTTCTGGCTAAATCTTCAGTGGAATCTTCAACTGTGCTTGGAGCGTAAATAGAAAAAACGGTGATAGGATGTGTGGATTGGTTTGAAAGGTAATTTCACAGACGCGGGGAGAATGAGCCAAAAAGGTATGTGCATGTGGTCGGAGTGAGGGAGAAATAAAAAAGCCTACTCCGAAACAGATTCACACTTAGTTTCCTGAACAGCTAGAAGGTGGATGCGCTTGGAGTTCAGAAGAGATCGAATCTGGTCATACTTAGCAGCTTCTCTGAGGCCTTCAACATTCCAAGTGGCTAGTTGTAACTGAAATCCTGTTGGAACAGGTATTGCTACAGATTTATTTACATTGCAAAGTTGGTTGTAACCATGGGTAAATATACGGGATTGGGAAAGGAGTCTTTTATATACTGCTGGCTTTGGACAAATCAGGGGATTAGGCTTTTGGCCTCCGTGTGTCCGCAGAGAGGCATCCTTACATGACGCTTTCAATTGTCTAAAATCTCTACGAGCCTCTTGTTGTTTATTTCTCCAAGAGGACCATCTACGGATGAAAGAGGCCTCCGATCTATATCCTCTGGATGTTCCCCTGAGAGTGCGTCGATCTTGGTAGCCGCATTGGACCGAATGGTTCTGAGCCAACTGTGCTAGTGGAAAATCGGCAAAAATGTAAATGTCGTCGCAGTCGTCAATAGTGTAAATGTCGTCATGGCCACAAGGGCCAGAATAATGTAAATCTTCCATACTGTAAATCGGTGTGTTTTGCCCTTGGACTTGAGGAACGTCCTTGCGGGCACTGCACTTCCATGATCTTCCATAAGCTTGGAGGTAGGTCCAGCGGCTTCCCGGCCCGCCCCCTCTGGAGGCGATCGACCGTAGCATGATCCCGTAGAGTCTGGTAGAGGAAGATCTATCAGTGTCAATCTCATAGGTAGAGCCCCTCCTAAAGTATTTAACCCAAAGTTTATTCTTGCCATAAAAGGAGTAATCAAAGACAATCATGCCATTAGGTAATGTAAAGGAATTCTTCCAGGAAACTGACCTGAATTTTGGGGTGTGTGTTTCAAAACAAACATAATTTGCATTAAGGGAATGGATTAGTTTGTTCAAACTCTTACAAGCAGAACCTGAGAATTTCATTCGCTGCTGGATGCACATAGGCAATATCAAGCTAAGCAGATCTTTGCAAAAACTGGCCCTGGGTAACCAATAGAATGGAACAAGTAGTACGCAAGATCTGTGACAGGCGCTCACTTGTCTTGGTGAAAAGCTACTTGGCGATGCTGTTGAAACTACTGAGTCCTGACTATGCGCGGCTTTGTACACACTGTGTGCACAAGGGGCAGTGCCCACAAGAGTGCACCATAATTTGGAGTAAGGTAGAGAAAAAAGATTGCATAATGAAAATCTGGTGGTGAGGGGCAGCGCCCAATCACCTAATGTAAATCGTTCCATTGGTAAATCTTGACCAAAGATCGGAGCCGGAGCCTTCCATGGCTTCGAAACGCCATAATGTAAATCGGTGGTGCTTGAACCCTGAGGTCCAGAGGCATCCAATGTAAATCGTTCCATTGGTAAATCTGCAGTGGATCTCTGTCCCTGGGTGAGCTTGCTGTAGGATGGAGTGAAGCCGAGCATGTAGTATCAGCTATCGATAGCCACCTGGGTCAGCCAGTGACATAGGGATTGACAAAGGAGTAAGAATGGCCTTTGTAGGAAAGTTGGATGCAAATCCATGCCATTATCCAAACAAAGGAGTGGAAACCGTGCTCTGCTAGGATAAATGATAGCGACTCAAGACTATTTCCTTTATTATTCCAGTGTCTGCTGAGGTACTGATCTCTATGTTGGTAAAGAGGACTATCTGGGGAAAGTGAGCGCATGACTTGATCATAGATTTCAACAAAAGCATCATTAGGGGCGACGAGGTTTTGCTTTGTGGTGGTATGAATTTTAAGGAGGGAAGCTAGCTGTGCATAAACCTGATCAAAGAAGGATGAGCCAGCGGATGCCAATTTTTTGAGAGGGGCATTTGTAAATGGGGCAAGCCCTGCAAAGATGTCTGTAAACAAAGGACTGTAATGTAAGATTTCAACAAAGTTGTCTACAAATTGTTGGAGGTAGGGTTGGTCTTGTGATGGGAGGAGGTTGTTTAGGAGGGATTCAATTGCTGGGATATCCCAAACAGGGGTGATCTGAAAGTAATCAAGGGCCATAAAGTAACTGGTTCTGACCATATGATCCCAAGGGGCCCAAACTAGAGTGGTGAGGTCTTTGTAAGAAAGTTGAAGGGAGGGGATTGATTGTGGAGAGGGAAGGTTGTAGTCTTGGGTAACACTCTCTGAGAGTGGAAGTAGAGCTTCCTCAATAAGTGTGAGGAAAGTAGAACAAGAATGGATGTTGCAGGAAGAAATTGACTTACCAAGCCGTGTAAAGAAAGGGGTCTGCATCATAAGGAGGTCTTGGCTGGAGACTGGTACTCCGTGGGGTCTGTCCATTTTGGGAGCTTAAAAAGAGGGTCATCATCAGGTTCTAAGGGGTGGACTAACTTACCCCACCATGCTTGAAACTCATCTGTAGAATCAGAATATGTGTCAGTGTAGCAGGCTTCCTGAAGGGACTCAAGGAGCTCATGATATGAGTCTTCTAAAGTGGCTATGATGGCTCTTTCATATCCTAAGTAGAGCGCATTGTTGCAGGGACAAAGGGGAGGGTGTTGCGCTGCATGCACTTTGAAGATATAATCTCTGTAAAGAACACAACCTAAGCAGTTTCCTGTTCCAAAGATGTCATCACAGCCTAAACAGTTCTTACCATCAGAGAGCATTATCGGGCAGGGAAAGGACTCAAGTTTAGGTTGCTGGAATTTTTTGACGGATCTAAAGGATTTATTGAGGTGCTCTGGATGCTGCCAATGTTCATGAGTGCATACTCTGCAAGAGGAGTTGGTGCCCGCTAAAGACAAAAACTCAGAGCAAGGGAAAATATTAGAGCTGTTTGCAACTTCCAAGTCACGCTTTTTGGAGGAGTTGCCTTTGCCTTGTCCCGTAGGTCCGGAGGAGCCTTGCGACGTGGCCCCCCACGTGTTGTCGGAGCCCCAATTGTCGTAGTCCTTTTTATTGTACCAAGCATTACGGCGGGAGTGCTGGGAGTAATCCTCTACCTTGGCTTGCCAATTCTGGTATGGCTTGGATCTAGCGTCCTTGTTGCCTTTGCCTTCTTGCTGGAGCCTATCGAAAATTTCTCCTTTGCCCTTGTATCCTGAGCCCTGGTAACCTCTACCTCTAGATCTATCTTTTGCCTTTGGTCCAAGAGGAGGTCTGATAATCTTTTCCTTTTTCTTTACCTCTTGAGTCCTTGTTGCCTTTACCTTTATGACCGAAGTCGGCATATGACAGATTGAAGTCTTGCATAGCTTGTTGAATGAGTGGCTGAATCCCTGAGAATCCCTGAACTAAAATAGCAGGATTGTCTGTGAGCTGTGCTGAAAGGGTGGAGTCCAGTTCTATGGGGAAAATGTCATAGGGGAAGAATTTCACTGCATCTGTAACTGAGATGTTGGATACATCCTTGGATTGCCCATAGTGATACCTAAGGGTGGTGGTAGAGTGCCTGGAGGACTGGGTGTACCCTTGAACAAACAGTAAAAAGGATTTCATTTTGGAGCCAAAGTGTTTGGGAAAGAACTCAACTACTATGTTGAAAATGCTGGGATGCAAAAGGAGCTGGCACTGGAACTGCAAATGCTTGCTGGATAGGTAAACGACCTGGGCCAAAAGGAGTTCATTGTCTTGGTCATAGAGCTGTAGGGAATTGAGCTCGGGTTTGAGGAATTTGTCATGGTATGGATTCTTGGAGTCATCTGTATCTTGGGTCTTGTTGAGTACTTCGATAATAGTCATAAGGGGAACTCTGTCCAAACGCTCTTGAAGAGGGATGTCCTTTTCAATCCTTAGCTGGGAATCCTCTTGGGTATCAGAGTGCCAATATCTACGCTTTTGTTTGAAGGCCTGTAAGAAGGACTTACTAGAGCTTTCTTGAAGGAAAATGACCCCAAGGAAAGCGGAAGATGACGTGCGCAAGTGGTTACTCACCGATTGAACGTCTGAGTTGGAGAGCTCTGCCTGCCTAAGGAGATAATTCATGTTTTGGGAAATGCTGGACATATTGGAAAATAGGGGATATTGTAAATGATGACAGATCTTCTTTGCTGTTCAGACTCAATTGCATTGAGGGTCTGTGAGCCTAAGAAGTTGTTGAGCTCTGATCTTTCAAGTCTACTGATGACTTCTTGTCTAATGTGCTTGTTGAGAATCTCAAAGGAGGGCTGAACTGTAGTGTCATGGTAGTTCTGGATGGTATCTTTGATCTTCTCAAGGGTAATAGATTCTGGTAGGGTAACTGTCGGAGCAGGCTCTGGGAAAGCTACATTGGTGCTGGGCTGGAAGGAGCCTAATGCTGTATCTAATTTAGCCATTTTCTTTGGGGAACGGAGCGCCTTGTAAGCTTGTAACAGGAGGGTGTAGACTGCAACATCCTAGCAAATGAGGGGTCCATATCTCCCTACTCTATTGGTTCGGAGTCGTCTTCTTCCATTTGAGATGCTAATCCAGTGGGGATTGAGGATGATGCTACTCTCTTCATATTTTGTTTCAGGAAAGTCTGGTAGAGCAATTCCGATATGATCTCCTGAGTGCCTCCGGTTGTGACAATAATCTTACCATCAGAGTACTTCTCTACTTTAGAATCAGGTCCAAGGAGTATAGTATCTATCAGGAAAGGAGTGTCCGGCTTTGTGGATTGGGAGGATTCAGCTTTTGTAGCCAAGAGCCCGGGTGCTGCTCCCTGGGAGTCAGTTGCATCAGTCGGCGCAGTAAGAGCCGCCGCAGGCGCTGGAGCTTTGTCGTCCGCTGTCGCCATAGCTGGAAATGTTGGATAATGTAAATCTGGACTAGTGTAAATACAATGAACGCCACAGGAGAATGACAAATGAAGGAAAGTTGCAAATAAGACATAAAACCCTTATAGGCCAAATGGAATGCAACAAAGTGGAAAAGTCGGTGTGGCTCAGAAATGGTGCAAAATGGGATCGGCTACCGCTCTGAGCCTCGCGCCGAGCAGTGGTGGACCAAATAGGAAGTCGGATTCCTGAGAATGCGGCGGGGTGCCTGGCAGCCTCCTTGATATCACCGCGCGAGCCCCCTTTGGCCAAACGCTTTCGCGCTCCCTGGTGCAAGGAACGCTCGAATGGAAACAGGACTGTCTGCGGGAGGAAGAACGTGGCGTGGTAGAAGATACTGACGTCATTCCGGCACCGGGCTTGCCTGCACGTCAAAAATGTACTCACCCTTGGAAAGCCTGATCTCATGGCGGCACGCCTGTATTCGAGGCTCGTGTCACAGGGCATACCGTCAACTTTGCGCATGTGGAATTTATCGCGGCTCCCCGTATTTGGCGAGCCGGCATCTCTGAGGACGCTACTGACCATCTGAACCATACGATTTGCGACCACCATCAACATGGAGCAGCAACGGACCAGCCAAAAGCAAGCGAGGTAAGCCCTGAAGTAGCCTAAAGTGCATCTATCTCAATGGCCCGTCTTTGTTCTTCACACCTCAGCTTCCAGAACCACGACAGTACCGGAGTTCGGTACCCAGGTGGCAAGCGATAACGGCTCGGGGAATCTACGTAAGTTGACCACCATGTGGGTAGGCGAAAAACTAAAAACAAGTGTTTTACCCAGTTTGCCAGGCAGACTAGTCCGTTACGTCTGGGTTTAGGTCAGGAGGTACAAAATCAAAAAAGCTGATTTGGCCGATGCTAAGCTCAAAGCACGCCAGGTGAAGAGCTGGTGTACCCGTCGCTGCAACAGCAACCATTGCCATGATGCTGGCACCCTCGGAACTGCTTTCAATGCACCTTTTGACTAGCTGACTAGCAACCTGCAATTCAGGCTGCTGCCAGCTGCACCAGAATTGTGATACCGTTGCGGTGCAGCACCTGCCAGCCAATGCAAAGCCACAGGGTCTTGGCCATCAACTCAAGTGCAAAGCCTCGAGAAGCACAGAGAGCAGCATGCTGTTCAAGCCTCATAAGATCCAATAACATGTCAAGCGACAATGAATTCCTTTCTTGCATGATGCAATGGCAAGGTGCCACTCACGATGTGCGTCTGCTGGCTGATCCTGAGTGCGTCACATTTACCTCACCAACTACCAGTACTTTTTCGGAAGCTGCAATGTTCTTGTACTCATGGCAGCCGATCTCACTAGGTCGGAAAACAAACAAGCCAGAAACACTTGATGCAAGCAGCACTTGGATGACAGCTATGTTGTTTTGAGACGTGGCGAAGGTGCTCGGTTGAGACAGCACATGCAAAGAGTGCAGGAATTGAAGGTGATTTCTGATCGATGACTTTTTTGGATTTTTTTCGCACCTGCATCTATAAGAAGGTCACTCAGGGTGCGCCAACCCCTTCTGCTTATATGCACATGAAGGAGGAGCCCGTGGAGGATAAGTCGAACCATCTATACACGGACGATCACGGACGTCATACCTTTCTGCCCCGAGTGTACACCACACACAACGCATCCAGCTTGGCGTACAAACCTATACTTCAACGTCCTTGATTGCTTGATTGATTGAAACCTGTGAGCGGCAATGCTCTGCCTTCCCAGGCAAGGCCAAACAAGCTGACTACTGCCAAGATGTTTGCAGTTGAGAAGTTCTGTCATGCCACGACGACAGGTCTTGCCGAATTGGGATTCCGCTGTATGGAATGCACTCGTCGAACTTCAAGTTGGTTGAAACTGCCAAGTGAAGTCAATTGACACGGCTCAGAGCTATCTGGAAGCTAACCAAATCCTATGTCCACCTTCAGATGGAGGCTGGAGGAGCAATCCAGGCCCTAAATTCTTCTGGGTATCTGCAAAACTGAAGTACGATCTATGTCTTTGGAATCACATCTGTTCAAAATGCTTGGCAGCATCAAGTATTCTGGTTTACAGTGGTTCGCCTGCCAACTCCTGAGCTTGCCCGGAACATTTGTGTTGATCTGGCTGTACATACATCTGGACAACAGCAAAGCTGTTGCTGCAAGTGGGCTCTTGTTCCAAATGCTTTGTGTGCGCTCAACAAAAGCAAACCCGTGCAGGAGCAATGAACCCAAAGGTGATTACGCGCTGGTTCAGTTGCGGGTGAAGCAGGCATACGGATACACCTCATGTGGAGTTTCCCCTTAGCTTGCCGTGTCAAGAGCCGGGCAACAGTGCACTGCTTGCAAATGCTCGTGAGCGCTTGCAAGCGCTGGCGACGGCTGGCAACCACTTGCAAAAGCTCACACATCGAATTCGCGTCAACTCCCTGACCCCCACACCCTCGAACGAGAATCCTTCTGCTGCGCGTTCGGGACACAGATAAAACGTCATTTCGGAGACTAAATGACCAACTTTCATACTGCAAGTACACGCCAAAATTTACTGGAACGGGCAGCTCCAGTTTACATGGAGCCAACAACATCTGGACAATGCACTGTAGACTTGCATATTGGCATATTGATCACAACTTACAATGATGTCAGACTGTAGGCGCGTATCAAGTTGCCAAAATGCTGGCCTCCGTGGCAGTTGTGAACCCACGCTAGTAGCTTGCCCATCGAGCTTGTAGGATGAAAAGGACACAGCACGGCATCGGATAACTAAGTGAAGGGCCAGCGCTGGTTCTCGTAGAGTTTGGCACCCTGTCATAGATTGGCACCATCAATGCGGAAGAAAGCTTCGGGGACAACTAACTTGCTGCGAGCTAGAGGCAGCTGAAGAGACTGCAACCACACTCCTGTACACTTGGATCCGTTTGGTGCCCAATGAGCCCGCCGCTGCTGCTGTCGTGAAGCGCGAGAAGTAACTGGCAGTCCAGACAGCTGCAAGGCACCTAAAAGTGGACGCAGATCACTGCTGGAGCCCTGACGGCATAACAACTTTCTTTACCGAGCGCAAGGCAGGACCAGAGAGTAAGACACGCCTAAGAACCTCGCCAAACTATGCTCAATCTCTCTATGGCCTTAAACCATGCAATTCATAGAAGCGGCGAGAAGATGTAGAAGAGAATGAAATGGCCATGGTTTCTCCTCAGTCCAGACTTACTCCAGGCTGCGCCCCTGTCTTGGCAGAACAAAAGGCTGGAGCATCCCAATGCAGTTTCCCGTGAAGGGGCAGTGATGGTCCATGCCTTCAGGAATTGTTGACGCCTTTGTAGAAAAGTTCAAATACCAAGCCACGAGCGGAGGACGCATCGCTTGCACATACTACCTCATCTGCACATCACTCCATTCAAACTAACTTCAAGTCACACAACCCCATCACGACTTCCCCTTGGCAGCCAGCAGTGATGAGATCTGGGTGGCTTCCAGTGCGCGCACTTCCTCACATTTATTGCAATTCTTTCGCCATGGCCTAGCCGGGCCTTGCATGATGCATTGCGGGAGCAATAGAAAATGTAAAGATTGTGCAGCCACCTGTTCTGTTCTTGATATCTTTACTCCTCAATCTCTGTACAGTACCTCTCTTGACTGCATATTGCAGCTGCACAAAAAAAATCAGAAGTGTGAAATTTATGGGTGGGAGTGCTGACGTACGTTCAATTTGCCTCTTTGATTCGTGTGATTTAAATAGGAAAAGCGGCAATGCCGCACAAGCGGTTGCACCCACCACGCGTGCTTCCAGTGCCCCCGGTTGTATATGGCGATGCCTCAACTTGTCTGGAAGTGGTTGAACGCATACCATGGCACCCTGATTCAAATCTCGGCCTCTCAAGCAGTGGAACATTTTTTTTTGCTGGAGCGAGGTTGGCTCAGCTTGCACGCGCAAAAAACAAAACTTGAGGTAGACTTAAGAAAGCCTGATGCTGAAACGCGCAGTGGGAACGGTCGCGAATGTTCGTGACAATCTGGACAAGCGATATGAGGTTGAGTCACTCAAGTGAAAACAAGCCATCACAATGATGATGATGATGCATTGCTGCATCCAAGTAACTGGCACCAGTTTGGTGCGTATAGCAGCTGCGGCCTCGCAAGAGCCACCATGCCAGCGAGTGCAAGTGGCTGAACGAACACCAGGCTCATGGCGCATCAGCAGCTCCTGTTAAAGAATAAGCGACAGGTACAGATATGCAGGCTTCGGGGTGGTGCTCCCGAATCGCGCGTTTTACCGATGCAACGTTTCGCCAGCTGGGGAGTGGAGCGCGCGTGGCAGACGTACAGAAATCTCTTAGAAGCATCGTTGCCATAGCATTTTTTTCTGCAGGATGTCGGCACGATGTTTGTGATAATTCGCCATTGTATGCAGGTTACCCCAAGTCCTTAAACCCACTTGGGTATGCAATAAGTACCCGTCAGAGAGCAGAAGTGCACCCGTCGGGAGAACGTGCTACAGCGATCTAGTAGTCCACGAAGTTAGGACTGCTTTCGAGCTGATGAGGTCTGCCAAGTGCCAGGCTGCCCAAAGCGAACTGCCCGGTCACCTACAGGTCTCAAGTTTGCTGTATGGGCTGGTTCAAACCTGTGTCCCACTGGTTCCGTTCGTAAAGTCAGTCTTTGGGGCACTGACACGATCTCTTAATTCTTTCGGGCTGCCAACTCCAGGACTGGTGGCCGCGCTAAGGCCAAATAGCATGTTTGCTGACATGTGCCCTGTCGGCTGCTGTTGTGCCGTTCAACAGCTACCCTGTCATCTGTCACTGGCAGGCAGTCATGGTTGGCCTCATGAGGCGGCTTGATGCTTTTGCATCCGCCGGGATCGGTCCACTGAGTCCTTGTGCAGTGGCTGCACGGTTCATGTTGGGTGATCACATCTGCGGCATGTTCAGTCTGTCAGAAAGCCTACTTGGGCAGTAGAAGTGGCGTGGGGCATCGACGCTATAAAGTTGAAGAGAAACTGCACGGAAATCCTTAGAGGGCTCTGCAGTGATGAGACGAGCCAGCCATTGATCCTGGATGTGCGGACAAGTTGCCAGCTGCCGAACAGGAAATTTGACGTCCACATCAGCCTAGGCATCACAACAAGCTGAACAACAACAGCCTGGGGATGCGCACATATCAACATGGTCAGGAGAGGAACTGGAAACAGATCTTGCGGATTGAAGTCACACATGCAACGTGCTTTTTGTGCATGATTTCTCCCTCAGAGAACATTAGCATGGCTCCTGCCCACGGCATGGCCATCGCAAAGGATGACCTGCACAAATCGAAACCTGTGCTTGACTCAAGCACCACAAAGTGCGCAACAAAGTGTGCAGCCTGATGAATATCTTGCACTGTAGGTTGTGGGCATTGAGGAGCCTAGAGTCCTATTTTGATCCCTGCACTTGATGCTATGAACCCCCTTATGATGTTCCGTTTAGTGCGGCACAACTTGCCAGGTTCAAACTAGGCCCTAATTATCACCTGCCCCAACGCATGACTCCCGAGTCACCAATACCCTATCACCTCAAACCCCTCATAACCGACACGACAAAACAATCCCGCAAGTGTGGCACGTGCATTGCTGCGCTGAACATCCATAAAACAAATATATGATCATTGCGGCAAGACACCGTTCACGGCCTGAAACTGCCACTGCTTGTGGTCGATGGCGAAGTAGGAAATTCGTGTAGCTGCCAATGCCAAGAAAACCCGAAAGAGCCCCGCTACTGCCTGCATCATCTCTCAGGTTCCAGATGGAAATGTGGAATGGAACAAAATAGTCATAAAGCTAGCCTAGCAGGTTTGCATGCAGCCAGCTGGAAGAGGTTTCTATTTGCCTTCATACTCTATTACACTGTGTGATGGAAGTGCGAATTCATTTCAATTGGTAACAATGTGGTACTTTACGATGTGCCACCACTTTGCGGTGCAATGTGTTCCTGCTTCTGGTCAGCTGTCGGCAGACTAGCATCTTCTGATGGCAATGGTTTGCCTGACCTATGCAGCCGTTCAGAATGTTTTCGAGAGACGGTGGCAAGTGCGGAGGTTACCGCGGCTCCGGATGTGGTCTTTGCTTTCCTGTGGTCGATCCTGGCAGCCAATTGAAGCCAGGAATTTCCCTATTGGCTTTTGATGCGCAGCTGCTCAACATGCCGCGTTGTCGGTCTAGTCTCACTAGTCCGCGGATCTGCCCACGTGAGCAGATGACATTACACAACAGGAGGTTCATGCTCAGAAGTCTACACAAGTGCCAGAACTCCCTTTCTCTTGCGGGCATGGTCCAGTCGCCTGAGCACGGCATCAAATCATGCAGAGGGGACTGTTGAGGGCTACAGACGTGCAGCTTTTCTAAACGGCGCCGGATATCGCTGCTATTCCAAGTCTCTTTTATTTGGTCGAGCAATCCCTGCTGTTGTAATCGTCCACGACTTGTCCCCATACTCTCCCAAGTGGTGTTGCGCGGCATCTTTCAAAGAACCATGCTGAGGTTCCCTCCCCCTCTCATCATAATTCAGCCTCATAAGCAGTCCACAGAGAATCCAAGCAATATGATACGCCCCGCCCCGGTGGCGAGGTTTTGATTCCACCTACAACTCATCCATAACTATAGGACAGGCTCGACCTTTATCTACAAACCATACAGATGTGCAGAACGGGCTGCGGCATGATTGCGAACTCCCTGGATATGACAAGCCTAGGTCATAGTTTCTAGCCTCGAACTTGTGCGTGCCGGGGGGGGGGGGTNNGAGGTGGTGGAGGGAGGTGGTGGAGGGAGGGGGTGGAGGGAGGGGGGGAGGAGGGACGGAGGGGGAGGGAGGGGGGAGGGACGGAGGAGGAGGGAGGCGGAGGGAGAGGAGAGGGAGCTCCCTAAAACAAACAAAAAAGTGCTTTTCCAATTTTTTCTCGGAAAATACACGCCACCACCGCGTACCACACTCAATCCAAAGGGATGCTCTGATTCTAGGGCCACGTACTACAGGCTATGTTGAACGGGATGACCTGTGAGTTAATGCACGAGAAATACTTTTGAAAAGCAGAGCAGAACTTGAAGTTGAGCAGACAAAGGTTACGGTAGTTTTTGCATAGGTCAAACATGCGCACACTTCACCCATGCCAGAGGCCGCACGCGATTTTTTTTGAAACGGGAAGGGGAGGAGCCATCACCTGCTCAAGCTCGTCCGCTCCGACGCATGCGTCTAACCCGCGCTGGCCATACTAGTGATGTTGTTGATATTCTATTTGGAAGGGTTCTGGAAGTATAGAAGGGAATCTCCAAGAAACTCAGTTCTAATTGCTTGAGATCTTTTGTATTGGAAGGGCATATAGGGAGATGTACAAACATGTTTCTTCTTGTCTCCGAATTCCTCTTTTGAAGGCATATCAGGGAACCAAGAAGAAACACATGTCTGATTACTTTGGACCTTTTCCATTTTAAGTGCATATATAATAGGGAGTGCCCGGGAGG